CACATGAGGGTCAGTCCCTATAACTTCCATGCCAATCATCTGCAAAACCCGAGCATCATGACCAACTTGACCTAGTTTGCCTCATCATCAATGTATGCAGCTGAGGGAGCAGGAGTGGTATTTTGGGGGCTGCTCTGCACTGGGGCTGGGAGGTGAGGGGGCATCTCCCCGCGGAGGCAGACAGGGGGCCGTTTCTTGGGGAGAGGAGTAATCCGCTTGGTTTTTGTGAGCCCTTTACATGCAACTGAGACATGTGCTGGAGTTTCCATGGGGAGAGAGGGTGGTCTCTCCCTCCCTATCCTTCTTCCTGAGGGAATTGAAGGCGCTGAAACGAGCATCGGCTTTTTTGAATTTTCCGACTAAATTTTTTTTTTATAAGTTGGCACTGCTGGCATGGGGCTGAGGTGGTTGTGATGCTGGGGGATAATGCACTCTGCGGTGATGGGGCTAGCCTGCAGGATGGAAATACAGTACAGCAGCGGTGAAGATGGGGGCTTCATCACAGTAAGACTTGCCGGAGTAGGGTTGAGAGGGATTTTATGTGGGATATCTATAACCAGTGCCTGAAGGAGCTGAGTGATCGGAACTACAGTTATGGTGCTGATTGGTGGCTTGTCTGGTATTTGCTGAAGTCTTGGGTCCCCGTGGGTTTGCGAATGGACGAGGCCAGAACGACGCCGGTCGGTGCTGGGGCTTGGTCGCGCTGCCCTGTAACTCGAGCTGTACGAGGGCAAGAGACCTGGTAGAGAGATCTTGGGAGTTGTCGAGGGTGGAAGGCACTCTAGTGTCCTTTGGTAAGCTGGTACCTAGTCAACGCTGGTCGGAGCCGGGGCGGGTGGTTTTGCCCTGTAGCCTAGCAGGTGGGAGTCTTCTGGGGTGGGTCGTGCCACTCTGTAACCTAGCAGTTGGGGAGTGAGGCCTAGCAGAGACTGAGTATCGGGATATAGGGATGAGGCAGGTAGGGGTGTGCTGCTGAAAGGCTCTAAGGCAGGTAGGGGTGTGCTGCTGAAAGGCTCTAAGGCAGGTAGGGGTGTGCTGCTGAAAGGCTCTAAGGCAGGTAGTTCTCGATCTGAATGTTCTTCCAAAAACAAAAGGGCCCTTTGAATTTAGTACTGCATAGATGTCTGTTTTCTTCTATTAGCCCCTTCGAGGCTGTTTTCATTAGTACTCGGTGCAAGTTGTTCTCAGACTTTTCTCAGTCGAAGCCGGGTAATGGCCCCGGTGCTTTAATACTTGTGTTTTTACATGGGACGCTGGGCCCAGTTCCCAGCACGTGCTGCTCCCCACGAATAGATTGGTGCTTTTTGTAAAAAAAAAAAAAAAAAAAAAAAGTCCAATGATCAATATTCTTGACAAAGTGAACCCTAAACAGCAGCTCACACTCAAACTTGGATTTTCTGAAATCATAGAAGACCCCCAGCTAATACGCATTTCAGAGACTAGGGGGGGGGGGGGGGGAAGACAGTGAGAGGAGAGAGAAAGAGAGAGCACAGAGAGAGAGAGAGAGGTATCCTACCAAAGCCACCTGTTCCTCCAGTTATCGAGTCTCCACCTGCCCAAATGAAATAGATCCACTTTATCAGTCCACGATATAATAAAATTGGGACAACTTCAACTCAGCTGTCTCTTTCACCCCACCAAGCACGGAACAATTGTGCATCTGACTCTCATTTAACCACAACTGGTTCACATGGACTCTCCACTTTTCACTGTTTTGCAGTTTGTCCATGTACCGTTAAGTACACCTTCAGAGTTGTCTAAATGGTACACACGTCAAAGGCTGTTTGGCAAACAACGACACAAAAATAAAGAAGTCTTTAAACTACTCATTAACGTCAATGGACAGGTACATACCAGTCACAAAGTCGACATGTCATGGAACTTCACTACTCTCCCTTAGATCTGAGTTATTTCCCCCTGCTTGAGCCATCCCTCCTCAGATTATCTCCGTCTATTGTCTTATTTTGCGGGCTCCATTTCCTTGGCTATGAGCCTATGACAGACCTGTGTCTCTTTCATCGGTGACTTGTCTGCAAGTGCCGGTTCATGTGAACGGACAGTCCATGCAGTCATTCCCTTTTGTTCTTCTCTTCTCGCTTTTCCCCAGGTACTGAACTGATCGTAACAGCTATTGGAGAGATTATGGCCTGAAGCATTTGGAGGATATTCCGGAGGCTCCCAAGGGTTCAGCTTATGCAGCGGCCCGTTACAGAGCAGTGAAGGTCTGTCAAAGCTCTCTTTTGTTCCTTCTCCCTTTACGCAGAATCACTTGTACCAGCTAGACCACAGAGATTAGGGAGATCGTTGACAGCATCCCAGTTGCTGGGGCTGCAGTTATGCATCTCCTTGACATGATCATTTTCCATAGCTGCATATCAGCTTTTAATTTTCTCACTTTGGACCATTTCTCGATTTATGTGTGTCATCCTTGTGCAGGGGCCATGCTAATCTTCTCTCTCTTTATCGTTCCATAGCTGCATATCAGCTATTGGCCTGCAATGAAGTATTCCAAACCCTGAATGTCCTCGCCCTTTTAAACAGCCAATTCGTGTACGGTACCCTTCCACTATCCTACTCCCGTTTCTACCCAACCTGTCATGCTTCCTAAATTGGATCGATAATCCTCGATCCTCCTGTAACCTGTGCCCAACTTCGTGCTCGATCCTCCTTCCCAAAGTCTTCGTTGCCGGAATCGCGCGCACTCCTTTGTTCCCATTGGAACACCCCCCATGTCTGCTCCTTCCTCCATATTCTTTCCTTCCCGCTTCCCCGCACTTACTATGTTTGCACCTGGTGCCCGTTGATCCGAAGGAGTTACCCAAAATACGTTTGATCAGAGCGGTCTCAAATCCCAAAACGATAAGAAAGGCTGATATATTCGGCCAGATCCCATAATTAGACACTACAAACATTTTCCCTCCTGCTTCCCGGCACTTACTATGTTTGCACCTGGTGCCCGTTGATCCAAAGGAGTTACCCAAAATACGTTTGATCAGAGCGGTCTCAAATCCCAAAAAGATAAGAAAGGCCGATATATTCGGCCAGATCCCATAATTAGATATTACAAACCGCAGGTTCACCGCCAGCCTATTTCATTCATAATATTTACCATCTACTGGCCCACCATCGGGGGGGAAACATCGACTATCGATCATAGTCGCTTACTAGTGCACAGCAGCCCCTCCATCGGTGGCATTGTTAACAAATAAAAATGAAAATTGACTACGATCCCGTTCACTGCTTTACTTCTACTGGGTTCATTCCGAAAACAAGTGCAAACCAAATACAGTTGCCGATCCGTTCTCTACTTTACCTCTACCAGGTTCATTCCAAAAACAAGTGCATAGACAAAACATAAAAATATAACAAGTAAAATGAAATCGGGTACCATTCAATTCACTATTTTACATCTACTGGGTTCATTTCAGAAACCATCGCAAAAAACAAAATTCATTTGCCAATCCGTTCACTACTTTACTTAACAAGCGCATAGAATGATATAAAATTATTAAAATAAAAATACAAACACAAATCCCAACCGGTTATCTATCTACTGCATCTGTACAGTAGTTTACATGGGATGGCTCAATAAAAACTGGGTCTTTCAAAGGAAATGGCGTACCCCTGTCAGCAACCCCCCCAAATTTCTGCAATTCGGGGTATAGGAAAGGGAACGTAGCCCTCCACTGATGCCCAAACAATTTGGCAAACCTTGCCAAATCCCCGAGAGAGACCTCCAGGGTGTAGCCCCGGAGGCGCGCTTCGAACATAAGGGCAGCTATGGTGGCCAAGGTTGCCTCATCTGAGGTCGATAGCCTGTATGCTCTCATCGTACTCGCAACTAAAGTGGCCCTCTTCGTTGACTTCTTGGAGAACGAATCGAAATCCTGCATGGAATATATCCTGGCCCGCCTTGTTTTGGACAGGTGTGACATCCACAATTTGCAATCAGACTCGTTCTCAAACACACTTTTCATGCATGTAAACAGGAACGCAGCATACTGGCGACATGCGCCCACTCAAAACTCAGAGATATGGCTTTCAGATACGAGTTCACTCTCAATTGGCTATGGCGACTTCAGCGCCCAA